AACTTATATTGTTTTTCCTTATGAAATATATTTAAAATAAAAACAAGTATATAAGTTGGAAATTGTACATTGTATTATATAATTTTTATATCTATACTTAAATCATTAATAACAATGAAAATAATTTGCTGGAACAAGAAACAGAAAGAAGCTTTTTTATGGCTGTGGAAGATGAAAAAAAAGGAAATGAGTATATGGAAGAAATAACTAAAAAATTGGTATAATTTTCGGTGAATGTTGCTGCTGCTACTGCTGCATGCTTCTGTTGTTGAACAAAAAAAAATATTTCTTCTTCTCGAGAACCCCTCCAAGCATCATATTTCCTTCACAAATGAAATGAAAAAAGAGGAAAAATTTATGAAGGAAAATGCAGCAATTCTCTCTTACTTTATGAACGACCTTCTGTTATATTGTCCAGGGGTAGGAATTTGTCTGAATGTTTTATTAGGTAGTCTGTGGTATTTTTACGGGGAACTTAGCTTTTTTTCTAGGATTTTGTTGCAAAAGCTACCTGATAAGTAAAGTTTCCAGAATAATTCTATAAAGCTACATCTCAAAATGCAATTTGATAATCTTTTGAAGACTTAGATCCAATAACTTTCATCTCATTAAAATTACAATCTCTGACTGCTTATATTCTTCATAGCAAGACCAAAACTAGTTACCAGTAGAAGCTATGAGCTAGTTTTTCAACGATTTAACTGTCTACCCACAAACAATATTCCAAATATTCAAAAATACTCTTAAATAGCCCTTCCTGAATTTTTTAAATCAGGCTTTCAACAAAGGCTTTAATCGAAACCATGCATGGTGTAATTAAAGCATAATTATTCACTTGCATCAGCATAACTCGTCAAGGATAAAGTTGTGGATAACTTGTGCCACATTTAAGCTAGTTTTAGCGCCAATTTCAATGACATATACTTCACAAGCTTAACCTTAATCAATTACTAAGGATTTAGCTCCAGAGGCGTTGAAACCATGATTAACAGTTGGAACCAAGCCTTAATTGGACCCTCCGCTGATCAGTTTAGGATTTGATTAGTTTGTCATTTCAGTAACACCTTGGTAGCTTTTGCAATAATTTTAAAAGAATATTAGCTAATGAATTGTCACAACTGGGAATTGAAAATTACGTAAATATTCAAGATATTCCTCAATCAATTTAATTGATGCCCAACTTAGTTGCCTCAGTTCTTTCTTTAATAAAGAGACTTCTTTAGTACTCATAATCTCAGATCTATCTGCTTATCTACAAGAACTATTATTATGCCACAATAATAACCTTCAAAAAACTAATAATCAACAGATCTTCTTCAAGTAGAAAGTTGAAAATTTTTACAGAATTTTCTTGAACTTATTTTCATTGTTTTGACATTTTTAGAAAACTTTTCGTAGATTTCTTTGTAAATTCCTAGTCTTCTTTATCTAGCTCTAATATCTAGAAACATTTTTAATTCTATTGTTGCTAAAAACTCGCTTTTAGATTTTTTCATTATGGCAAAAACTTGTAAATGCTGTAGAATTTTGTGATTCCGCTGATAAAAGTTCCTACTCCTGGTGTCTCTCAATGACTTTCTCACTCCCATATTTTTTCCTCATACTTATAAATTTATTGGTCCATTAATTTTTCTCACTTTACCGCTACAAAATTTGTTTTCTACGAGAACCTTAAAAAAGAATCTTTAAAATTGCATACGAAAGCTTCTCAAATTTTTTAATTTCCATTTCTTTTAATTGCTTATTTTTGTATCGAAATGTTGAAGTTATTGAACAAAACTAATACTTAAGACATTGTTAAGAAGAGATTAAAGAAGTACAGAAAATATCTCAAAAGATTTTGTATGAAAATTAAATTTTTTTAATTATCTTAATTACACTAGCTAAGGAAGAAAAGCTCTCCATTTCTCACTCTTTTCAAACCTTCATTCACCAGAACAGAACAAATATTTTTCATGAGCAAATTCACAATTTTATTTCAATATTTAACTTTTACATAATGTCACAATTTTCAGACATTTTTTTCACATTTACACTTCCTATGTCGTCTCTCCCCACCACCACCTCTAACTCAAGCTTTACAAACTTTTTTTCTGTGTAAGTCAAACCTTTGTTTTGACAAACAATCGAGAATAAAAAGAAGAAATTTTCATGTTGTATCATTATAACATCCATCCGGCAAATACAAATTTACACACCAAAAATATATACACGACATAAGGAGGCACATTGAAAGGCTTGTTCTTCCTTTTGTTGTCTTCACTCAGGGAAATGTTTTGTGACTTGAAAATGTATTCTTTGGAGTTTTTTTTGTCTATTTATATTTTAAGGTTCCAGGAACACTTAAAAGCTCTCTTAGTAAGCTCAAGTTTCTGCATCTAAACATATCTTAAACGGTGAAAATTATGTCAGAAAGCTCTGGTTTCTGCCAAAAAGCTTTAGTTTGAATACAAAAGCTCTGGTTTAACTAAACAGCTCTAATTTAAGCCAGAAAGCTCTAGTTAAAGTCAAAAAGCTCCCACTTTAGCCAGAAAGCTTTAGTTTCTGTCAATAAATTCAAATATCTGCCAAAAAGCTTTAGTTTTAGTCATAAAACTCTAGATTCAATAAAATAAGCTATATTATAGTCGAAAAGCATTGTGCGTTGTCAAAAAAATCTATGTTTTGTCAAAAAGCTCCATGTTTTGTCAAAAAGCTCCATGTTTTGTCAAAAAGCTCCATACTTTTTCAAAAAGCTACATGCTTGCACAAAAAGCGCAATGCTTTGTCAGAAGCTCTATGCTTTGTCACATATCTCTTGATTGTCAAAAAGAAGCTCTAGTTTTACTCAAAAACTCTTGTTCCTTTCAAAAAGCTCTATTTTCAGTCCAAAAGCTCTAATTTTGTCACAAAGCTCTTGATTTTGTCAAAAAGCTCTAGTTTCTGCCAAAAAAGGTATATTTTGAACTTTGATGCAATTAAATTCATTGCAAACCAACAAAAGCTTTTCCCCTGAGTACAACACAACGCAAAAACAGACTCGCTCCACTCCAAACTTTTGCAATTTATCTCGATGCCTTTTTTTACTCATCGACACATCTTTGTTCACATGTTGTTTTTTCTGTTTCCCAAAATAATTTTTTATCCTTGTCTTACACCAAAAAAAATATATTTTTTTCATTCTTTGCAATCATGCATAATTAAATATCGCTTAAATGTCATTATTCCTGCTTAATTTCGCTTGCCACAGCTGATATTAAAATTATTACATCCTCCATCATACATGTAATCTTTGTGTTAACAGCACAGTACAAAAAAAAATAAGACAAGAATATTGAATATAATAAATCAGTGTTCTCACATGACACATACGGTATTATGTGGTATGCTGTACATTCACAAGATAGAGAAGCTCTTAATCGAAAATAAAGGAATAATGTAACCCAAACATACATGTACAGTCATTTCATTTGATCCATAATACATTCAGCTATCACTATCATCTTGTACTTTTGTAATACAGATAAAAATAATAATAAGAATCCCTGTCACAGACTTTGAGAAGCGCTTGACACTGCTTTCTCTGCCACTTGTTTCTGCATTCGATTTTTATTGTTGATTGCTCTGGAATGAATAAATGATGAATGTGAATGCTTTGAATTTATTATAACGCTTCAGCACCTGCTTCATGTTTCTAGTTACGATACTTAATTTATTTTACAACTTATGCATCAATATATAATTTGAATGGAGTTACTGCATGTTAGAATTAAGTCTATAATAATATAATCGTGCCATTTGAATAGGTATAGAGACTATATGCATCATATTACACGAGGAACAATAAATAATTAAATGTTCGATACAATTAAATTGGAAATGCAGACTGTCGTTGACATAAATTTAAATTAAGGTCACGGATTGGCTGCAAATCTGAAATAATGGCAATAAAAATTTAAATTGACTAAAGTTTGTTTAATTTTGTGTTTTATGTTGTCACATGGAAAATCTGTGGACGTTGTGCATTGAATAGATTGATGCTGACAAATTTGAACGAACTGAGTTGTTGGAAGTAAGGTTTTTAACTCATTTGGCTCATTTTTCTATGACTCCCTCGTCATGTACAATGTTTGTGTCACGACATAAGGTAATATTGTGTTGTTGCATGCTTTTATGTTGCTCAAGGGTCAGATACTCAGGTCTACGACTGGATTTCTAGGTTTTCTTGAAACATAAGATGGATCTGAGCAAATTTTAGCGGAAAAATATGATTCATTCATGTCATGTGACTTAACATGTTGCAACCGTGTGACAGTCATGTGGCAGTATTGTAGCAGTAATGTGGCAGTGATGTGGCACATGTTTCTCCAAAGTGTTGCTCGGGTTTGCTCTTGTTAAATGACACATATCAAGAAGCAGAAAGGTCAGCAACATCAAAGATAAACTTACATCAAACACAAAATATAACCCAAAGCCAAATTTATCGTAAGGGGCTGTTCACTTATTACGTAACGCGAAAAAATGACTTTTTAGACCCCCCCCCCCCCCCTCGTAACAAAATTTGTATGAAAAAAAAATTTCCTTGTTTGAACCGTAACAAAATCTTAGACCCCCCCCCCCCCCCTAAAAGCGTTACGTAATAAGTGAATGGCTCCTAAAGTATAAACCAACTTACTTCCAAAACTCTCAAAAAATAATATTTATCATCATCAACATAATCCATTTTATTGTGCGGTCACATCAAAGCCAATATTCCATGAATGAGAATCTATGGACAACATAAACGCACAATAAACAACTGCAAATGTATTTTCCATTGACAAATACGAGCAAATTAATTATTTATCTTCCTCAATTTCCATAAAAATCCATTAAAATTAAAGCCCATAAATTTATATTTGTCGAATTTTTTTTTATTTTTTTTTTCTACGCTATAAAAAAATTTTCTCGCATGAAACTTATATCTTGTCTATTTTATCGTCATGAACATCATCATTATCGTTATACGCCGCACACTAAAGGTTGACCTAAGGCATATGGATGAGAAATTTGGCAGTAATGTTGTAGATGTCGGTGTTGATCTCTCGGAATTCTACATGAGCGTTGAATGGGATATTTTGGAAGTACCTGCAGTGCGGTAATTAAGCGAATGCTTTCTTTTTCCTCGTCTCTATTGATCTCCATTGTATCTATTTTTATATATATATATATAGGAATGAGAAGTTCTATACGTGCTGTGATGTAAATATTAAATTTTCTTTTATTAACATTTTGATGGTTCACACTAATGAATTTTTTTCTCTGCTTTTCATCCTCAATCATCGTCATTACAGGAACCATATCTCGTAAGTTGGAAATGTTGATTTAATGAGGAAATTTCGCTGCAGGGGAAATCAAGGTTGGAGTGAAATTTTCTGATTTAATGAATTTCTGCTCCATTTTAAACCAATTTTGCATCGTTCATAGCAATTTTGCATCTTTAATAGCAATTTTGGATCCTTTATAACAACTTTGCATTATTTATAGCAATTGTGCATCTTTTATAGCAATTTTGTATCTTTTCTGGCAATTTTGCATCTTTCCTAGCAAATTTGCATCTTTTTCTGGCAAATTTGCATCTTTTATAGCAATTTTGGATCCTTTATAACAACTTTGCATTATTTATAGCAGTTTTTTCTTTTCTGGCAATTTTGCATCTTTCCTAGCAAATTTGCTTCTTTTTCTGGCAATTTTGCATCTTTTATAGCAATTTTGGATCCTTTATAACAACTTTGCATTATTTATAGCAATTTTGCATCATTTATAGCAACTCTGCATATTTTAAAGTGACCTTACATGATTTATAGCAACTCTATTTCTTTTATAGCAACTTTGCATCTATAATAGCAATTGCATCTACAATTGCTTGAATTTCGCATCAAATTTAATCTTTTTTTTGCGACTTTAATCGACATTTTTGAATTTTCGAACAAATCAAAGAAAACATTGCGAAAAAATTTCACTCCAAACAATTTCCCCAAATTTTAAAATTCATTCAACATCGAAACAAAAAATTCTAAAATTTCTTCTTGCATTTTTATCTCGCATGCTCATCATGATCATTCATCAGGATATAAGTGAGTATTGCTTTTTCATTTATTGGAAAAATTGTTTTTCATCTCTTGGAAGATATTTTTTTGTGTGTTTCATTTTGTCTGTAAGAATTGACAGACATTTTGATTAATGACTTCTAAGTTATTTATTTACTTGAACAATTTAAAAGTCACGAAAGTACATAGTCTATATACTTCGTCTATTTACGTCAGCGATGATGTTATTCAGCTTCAAAATCATAGCTATAAATATTTTTAATTACTTTTTTGTGGCTAATTGAGATGCTAATCGGAAAAATATTGGTTATTAGGCTGATGAGTGATTCTCGTTTAGTTTGAGGGAAGGTAGGAAGGGGATGGTTATGTCATATTGATGATTATTTGACCTAGAATTGGATAATATTCTCATTAAAAGATTATTTTAAGCTAGCAATTTGTTTTTGGAGCTTTCGAGTAGCCAAGGCAACCTCAATATTTAAATCTGAATTTAATAGTGATTATCACACAATTCCTTCAATTCTTTAGAGCAACGACCCACATAAATTAAAATAAATAGCAAACAAACCTTAACAGCAATTAAGAAAATATCAAAATCAATTTAGAAGACGTTTGAAGCATCGGAGCGTGGAGATTGTAAATATTAACAAGCAATTTACATCAATTAATTAATTATCTTTAAAATGTAGATTGAGATGGTTTTTGATATTTCAGGAAGTGAGTTAAGATTGATGATACTTAAAACGAATGAAAGTAAAAAAAATTATCCATTTAAAACTATTCTAATAAATTATTTTAATTTTCAAAGAGATTCGAACCCTTGATCTTCGTGACACTCTCAAATATCTAAACTTAAGTTTGTAAACCATTTGGTCAACTATTTATTTTATAACAGAACCACAATCGGTCCTTTATAAACAATCAAGAAATTCCTTTAAAGTTCAAAAATTCACAAACATCTGAAATATCCACAACACTCAATAATTGTCAAGTACATAAGCTTTGATTCGTTGTATGCTTTGATTAGGGTAACAAGCGGATGTAGTAGATTTATGTGTTTTACATACGGAAGTCTTATATTAAAATTCACATACATTCCTAATATGTTAGTAGATGTGAAAATAAAAGGATCTCCATGGAATGTAAACTAGTTTTATTACATGGCTAACATGTGCTTGATAGAAAATAAAATTAAATGAACTCGTGGGAAGCTCAAGCTGAGCTCTTTAAAGGATTCTTCTTTATAATTAAGCAACAAAGATTCTTTAAACATTTTTTTTTCTTATGGAAAAACCATTTTTCAAACGAAAAAAAAAAGAAAAAGAAGTTTTTTGGGCTTTTAAAAAGTACTTTTGTGACTCTTCCATGTTAAAAGCAAACTGTCATCATCTAATTTTCTTCTTCCATCCTTTATCTTCTCTCATTCTGTTTCACTTACAAATTAATACAGCTTTCAACATTACTATGCGAAGGAAAACTTTGTTCTACACGGGTGAGTTAATTTATTTTTTATGTATCCTCTTCTTCTTTGTAGCTTTTGGTGCCGTTCCAATCGCATCGCTTTGTATGATATGAACTTTAACCATATCAGTCCAATCAACCATTTCAAACCCAACTCAATCGTCGTTTGCTGATATTCATTTTCGCTTAAGATCATATGTGGAAATGATGGTGGACGGATTGAATGGATTGGAAGTGGTTTTTTAAGATATTAGAATGCTGCGTCTTTGAATAGTGTAAATTAAGTTTGGAAATAGAATTGTTATCTACAATTTTTGGACCAAACAAGTTACTTCTCTATTTTAAGAGTCAGTTAACATTACCAAGAGCTGATCAAATGTCAAAGACCAAGTATAATACTTCATTAGAATACACATCAAGGACTACGCTTGAATATATCCTAAATAGTAACCTAAATACAGCACTTAGCTTTTAAACTCTAGCTCTAACTCTTCCCTCTTTAAATGCTGATCAAAAATATCCAATAATCAATTTCCAAAACTCAATAATCAACTTTTTAAAGCACTTCCAAAACTCTTTTTCCAATCTATTCAATCTGCCACCACCTCCACCAATTGCTTGATGCAAAGTTTTTCGCTAAAAGGAAAATAGAAAAAAAAACTTTTATTTTTGCAAAGTGTCGACGATTGGGATGTAATGAAATGGAATCCATATGTGAATGGAATAAAAATAAACATCTTGAACTGAAGCTGTCTAAAAATGGATTATTAATATTTATTTTTTTTCTTCCTTTTCATTTCATTTCTCTTTTTATCCTGTTTTTGCACTCTTACTCGACAGTCAACATTATAATCCCATGCATGGGAATTTCATTTCTAACAGTATTAACATTCTACTTGCCCTCGGATAGTGGAGAAAAAGTAAGTTGATGACTGATTAATATTCTAGTGTTCGTTCAGGTGTTTATGAAGTAAGTTGCAATGTATGTAAATTGAGTGTGTTTTCGGATACACTTTGGAATAGTTTGAAAGTGTTTTTGGAGGATGTAGGGTGCTGTAAAATGGATTATGATTGGCTATATTGCCTGGATATAGATTGTACCAGTTGAGTAGGCTGAATCATCTCGAGGAAGTGATCTGGACCTCTTTGGGCTCTTCTCCGGCTACACTTATGAGTTCTACAGCGATTGTCTTCTGATTCTAGTGCCATAAGATTGACTTTATAGAACAGACCATCAAAAGGGTACCTAGATGATCATAATAGCAAGAACCAACCTTAGGTCAGCTCAGTTGAATGCCCAAGCTATCAAATTCAGCCAATTCAAGAGCAAATCTGCACAAGAAACTACCAATAGTTCTAAAAACGTTCAGTCAGTTCCAAAAAATGCGCTCTATTCAACATCCAGCTTACAAACACTCAACCCATTGCATATAACTTCCACATCGTGACTATTAATTTAATTAAGCATCCGTATTCGTGAGCATTCAAACTAAATCTTAATTCATCAATTTCTTTCCTCTTTTCCATTCTATTCCATCCAGGTAACGTTATCAATTTCAATTTTAATTAGTCTTCACGTTTTCTTTTTGCTAGTTGTTGAGATTATTCCGCCGACGAGGTAAGGCTGTTAATTTAATATAAAATTCTGCAAATTATTTATGACTGATTGCTTTCTTCTTTCGCCTGCTATTTGGTGCATATCCAATTGGGGATTTTTATATATATTTATTTTAATGAATGCTACGGCAGTTTGGTTGTGCCATTGCTAGGCAAATATCTTATATTTGCTATGATACTTGTGTCTATAAGGTAACTTTTTATGAGCATCCATATTTTAGTCATGTAATAAATATTATTCATCCATTCCTATTTAGTATATGCGTTACTGTTATGGTGCTGAACGTTCACTTCCGATCACCTCAAACTCATACAATGAATCCATGGATAAAGTCATTCTTTATAGAATTCCTACCAAAGTTTCTGTTCATGAAACGACCAAAATATGTATTACAAACCAACAGGTAATTGAGCGTTACGTCGCTATGTCATCATCGATTATGAATTTTATGCTGAAAATAGATAAAAAAAAATATAAACTTTTTTTTAAAAAATATACGAACAATATCTTTTTTGAAGGGGGAGACTGCTGTTAAATGTCGAATGTATTTATGTGAAATGAAAATTTTCTGTCATCTCGTTGATGGATAATAATGATGATGCCTAGGATGAGCAACAAAAAAAAAATTGTATGGAGCTGGAATATCGTAGAAATGATTAATTACTGGAAATAAAGAGCAAAAAAAAATATTTTAATTTCGTGTCATTGCGAATGATAAATATTTGATCCTAATTGTGGGCTGAGTTGTGTCTGTGTCGCTGTAAAATATTTCACATAAATTTAAGCGAAAATCGAGGATAATTTAAAGCATGTCTTTGTGATAAATTGTCGAGCAATTTTGGGGGATATTAATGTACTAGCTGATAACATTTGATCTTCTAAGAATAATTTGGTTTTTAAGGAAGATTAAGTGCTGGATGTGGGTGGTGCTAGACAATAGGAGAAAGCGATTTGAGTTGCATTTCGGTTGTCTTTGATATGTTCTTAATAATTGACATATAATCTTAATTTAAGCTATTTGCTAGTCCTTTAGTGGCGTAGGAATTGCTAGACCAAGGTTTTGATACAAATTTAAATCCAACGCTTCTGTAATCGCATTGTTCTGTGATACATACTCTTACGGACTCGTACCTTCCATATTGCTAAGCATCATGTCCAAAATCAGCCCAAATTCAAACCAGAATCCACAACTTCCACTCCAAACTTTAAAAATCAATCCATAAAACTACCAATTTTCATTACTTCTTAATGATTTGCATCATATCCCAATAAAAAGCCATTAAAACTTTCAAACCACAGTAATTTCATCCCTTTTATCCAAAAATATAGCCAAGCTATATCCACAAAAAAAAATTAAATTTTCTCACAAATTATGGTCATTGGCCCCTGTTTCTGTCAAAAAATAAAGTTCGAAGGCAGTCAACATCTATGCATAGACTAGTGTGAGCTAATGGCTTATACATAAATATTTCATGCCGTTAATGGCACCTGTCATTTGCTATAAATGACAGACTTCTTGGTATTATATATTTTAAGCCATTTATTCACATGCCCTAATAAACTTTTGAACCCTACGAGGATTTACCTAAGCTTTCACACCCCTCCTAACATTTGCTTAACCCTTTTTTACTTCAAACGTCACACGAGTTGGATGTGAAAGCATTTATTTTGTGAACTCACGCAAACACCAGAAATAAAAAAAAGTGAATTAAACTATATATTTCTTAGTTGTTTTATTTCACGGCGTTCGCAGAAATTGCGAAATCATCCAACCCTCAAAGACATTTTCACAAAATAATTGTGAATACAATCAAAGGAAGCACTACAGCATCAAGAATTCAGTTAATTGGCTTAAAATTAATCCTGGATTAAATCGTCAGATTTACGTCGGTTATTCACTTCGATTAAGGAAAAATTTCGCGATTGAGAGAAAAAACCATTTTTGCCTCGTCTATAGGCACTGAAAGTGAAGAAGCCTGATTATTGGTGACTTACAAAAGTGAAATCAACAAAAAAGCAGTGAAAAAGTCACTGGAATAGCCGGAAAGGACATTAGAAAAATTGCTGAAAAATTCACGTGTGAATTCCTGGAAATAAAAAAAAAAAAAAAAAAATCCAACAACAAAATTGATTCCGAGAAATTGAAAATTCTGAAGAGTTTGAGCATATTTGGACATCTAGAAGATCTAAAAGCAGCCAGCATTACTCATTTAGCACCAAATAAGTCGGTTTATGAGCTTTAAGGCGTATTGGGTGAGTTTCGGCAGCACTAATTGAAATTAGCCTCAAAGGCACGCGGAGAGTTTGTTTCTTTTCTTCTCATCCACAGCAATTAATTTAATTATATATACACTTATACTAAGTCGTAGACAACTACACATCATCACCCGGTGTAGATTTACGCGCAACTCGCATTCTTGTATGCATGGTACTCGAATCGAGGATTTTACTCAAAAATTATTTTTCAACCCCAATTGGATCATACAAGAGATCCACTCGATCAATCAAAAGATCCAATAAGTCGGCAAGAGACTTATCAAGTCACTCAAATTATCCCGCATCGATCAACATACAATTCGGACCGAGCAAGTGGTCTACAAGCCGTCAATAGGCATTCTTCAAGATCCTGAACAAATAATTATCATCAAAATAATTCAACGATGGCAACAAATGTGAAGTCGCTTAAAGACTTACTCGATAAGGACAAGCAGTGGCTAATTGATTATACAAGCAACAACCCCGGCGCAGATAATATCGACAATTATATATTTGCAGTCAGCACGTTGAAGCAAGGCTTTAAATGCGCAACTGGCCATAATTGTGAACTGCTTCAAAGAGACTGCAAAGATTCGGACAGTGAAGAATCAAGATTATTCTTGCTGTGTTTTTCTTGTGACCGTATTTTTCATCAGAGATGCTCTAAAACAGTTGAGGAAGACTTAGTGAATGAAAAAACGCCATGGATATGTTTAGAATGTGCAGCAGATCCTCTCAACAATTATGCAACTGAGTTTTTCAAGTCTGGAAGACAAAATTTACCGCTAAAAGCAAGGCTCGAGAGATACTCAACTGCTGTAGAAATTCCATCACCAACACATATGCCTGGAGATCAATCAGAAGAATTTTTAGATTCACTTTATGATATGTCAATCATTGAGCATTCATTACACGTCGATTTCAAGAATTTGGAACCAATTAATGTGTCGAGACTTCTTGGTACAAAGTTGGTCCAGCAACAAAGTGAATTTGCATCACTGAAAAATGTAGTCTTACAAGCAGAAAAGGAAAAGAAGGAATTACGTGATCAACTCGCACAAAAAGCAGCAGAAAATGAAGCACGAGACCTAAAGATGAAGCAATTAGAAAAAACTATTAATGAAAGACTGTTCTTGCAAGATTCTAAGCTACAAAACTTCCCCAGCATACAAAAAACGCTTGGAGTGAGACAACCTCCTCCGCTATTAAGTTCTACCCTGATGATGAATCATAGTTCTCATCCTAATAGTACAAGCGTGTTGGGAGGAGAAGAAGGTCAATCCTCTTCTAGTGCGTTGAGACAATCTCACGCCGAAAATACAGCCACACAGGCTAAGCAGTTGAATCAAGCTTCATATAGCATAAAAGTGCTATCAGCAAATGATGTTCTAGCTCAAATAGCTCAAGAACTTAATCAGCAGTCTGAACAACAGCATCAAAGTGCTCCAAATTTCACCAATGCATCACAAATTAATAATTTTTCTTCGTATACGCTTCCAATTGCCGCAAATCAAGAAGATGGCTTAAGTCTTAAGGATATTCGCAAGTGTCTTCCTAAAATTGAAAAGTTTGACGGGAATATAGACAGATGGCTGACATTTGAACGAGCTGTTGACAGGAATATCCGGGAGGGACGTTATTGTGACAGCCTAGCTAAAAATTTGATTCGTCAGGCATTGTCAGGACAGCCTCTTGAAAGAGTAGATAGCATCTACAATTTTTCGACAGCCAATGAGATCATGAATTACCTTAGAGAAAGCTATGGATGTTCGATGAATATTGTGGCGAGCGCAAGGAAGAAGTTATTAGCAGTTAAATTGTCTAAACCATTAACTCATCCCTCTGTCATGGAAATTACCACCAAGATTACTTCCTACATGTCAGCTTGTAAATATGCTCAACTGCCTATACTCGATATGAGCATATCAATGCATATTCATCATCAATTGGATTCTACACATCAGCAACAATATTACAAATATTTCTTTGAGAAATTCCCTGGAACAACACGATTAGAAAGATTGGATGTACAGTTTGAGTTTCTGAATGAACTTTCTAAAACGCTCCCAATGAATGAGCACAAGTCTGCTGAGAAAAAGGAACCTTCAGGCAAGAACTTTAATGTCATGACAACCTCAGTAGCGTCGAATAGGAATGGAACCGGGTGGAAGTCATCATCCCCGAAATTCCAAGGACGAGATAGCAAAATCGGCAATGATGATTTCAAGTATGAGATCCGAAGCAAGGAGACTGCACCATACATTGGCTTTGACCTGGAAAAAGTACGGTCTTTAAAGAAAAAGTGCGAATTATGCAACCAGTTGAGTCATTTCTCGCTGGAATGTCGTAATTATCGACACATGCCAATGGATCAACGATATAATTTCGTAAAGACAAAGGGAATATGCTCGAATTGCTTGCTTACGTCAGATCATCAGCCTAAAGATTGTAATTTAAAATTAGGCTGTGGATTTAATATTGATAGCACCAGCAAGTGCTCTCAAAAGCATCATATTACTCTACATCGTGGTAATTACAAAAGAAATTCTTATCCTCACAACAGATTCAAACGACATTCAAATTCAAGAGACGAAAACAAGCCAGATGAAAATCCACCAAAGCAGTCTGAAAATCCAATTCCTTCAGCCCCACCATTATCTGCTGATCCTGGACCTTCAAATCAATCACCTCAGTCACAGCAACAGTATAATCAGCAGAGAAACAGGCAATATCAAGGATTTGGCTGTCGTACTATATCGCTTGTAAATGCAGATGAGACAAGTGATAAAGGATATACACTTTTATCAGTCTGTAATAAAAATGAAAAGGAAAGTTCTCATAGAACTATCAAACTGTTTAGAACTTATTTTTATGGCAACGACAAGAAGGCATTCGGATTTGCATTAGGAGATTCAGCAGCTGAAGTGACCTTAATTAAGCAAGATTTGATTAATGATTTAGGAATCATAGGAGAGCCGTGCAATATAGAACTTTCATGGACTGATTCATCAATGAAGTTAATTCCAGCAATCAAAGTGAATTTGAAAATTTCAGGCATTTTGAATGACAGTGAAGTCTTAGAACTGAGTGAATGTTATGCTGTAAAGGATCTTCAGTTACCTCCAAGGACTCTCAAAGTTGAAAAGC